AGCTGTATTATCCAATTGTTTACACACAATTAATCAACTCTATTTTACTTGTAATTGGAAACTCATTAACCAACATATAAGTTGTATTAATCTATTTTTCACACACAATTAACCAACTTTAATATGTCTAATATGTATGAAAACTCATTAACCAACATTTGACACACAATTAACCTACTTTGTATTACTTGTAATTTATTTTTAATTTTCTTTTGCATATTCATTAACCTATTTCAAGAATTTAGAGTGGAAAAAATATAAAGCATCTTGTATGGGGAAAAAACGTTAGCAAGAGAGGAGAGAAAAGGAGAAAAAAGGAGGTGGTTTATGAAAAGAGAGTAGAGAGAAAGTTTAATTGTAATGTCAATTATAACTTTTTATAATGTAAAGTCAAATAATAATAAAAAAATAGAAATATACGATGTAGTGTGAAATTAATTGTAAACATAGCAATGCTGTTAAAGTAAATATGTCTGTATACAAAATATCTTTCGAAAAGTGAATTTATTAACTTGTATTACTTTTTGAGACTTGTAAAAGCAATTGATCGTAATGATTGAAAATAAAAATTATATATATATATTGTTCCGGTATGGGCCTCACTTCGGCAGGCCCAATACCACATGCGGCCCAACAAGCGAATCAGGCACGCCTGGCATGCGCCCCTTCGGAACGAGCAGGAGCAGGCCGCCGAGCACAAGCTACATCTCCACATCCTTTTTTGTCGTCCACCACGTCGGACGAGCAGAACCACCCGGGCTCCCCTCCGCGGGGAGAATAACATGCTCGGCGCACGTTCTCCACGTGCTCCCCTCCGCGGGGACACGTCATCGACCAGCTGCCCACCTCCGAAAGAGCAGGTCAAACCCACTTTCCGGGGATCCAGGGGCAGTTGAACTAGGGCGAAGACCACGTCCTGGTCTTCACTACGCCACGTAAGCCCTAGCAGTCATTAGGGTTGGGCCGGGTCATCCAGCCCACCTCGAATGACCGTTGGCCCAGCGCTGGGGTCTCTCTATAAATACCCTCTTCGTCAAGAGGGTCAGGTAACTCTTCTTGTCCCCCTTTTTCTGTACTATTGCTTCCTCTCGGTCCAACTTCTTATGGGCGTCGGAGTGCTTTGCAGGTGCACCCCCCTTCCTCTTTCTCACCCCGGCGAACAGGTAGCAGCCCAACGGAGTGTGGCCAGTCCGTGATTCCCTCCTGATCAGGTCAGATCATATATATATATATATATATATATATATATATATATATATATATATATATATATATATATATATATATATATATATATATATATATATATATATATATATATATATATATATATATATATATATATATATATATATATATATATATATATATATATATAAAAGTCGTGTTGTTCTTACATTGATTGGATTGATCGGAAAAATTAATAATTGAAAATAAACCAATTTCATTAAAAAAAATAGAATTAAGTATATTTTTCAAATAAGTAATGTCGAAATCATGAAAAAGAAAAACAGAATGATGATAAAATTAAAAATAAAATTGAATATATTTTTAAATGAAATATATCTTTAACTTCAAGTCCTAACTTCTCTACCACACACGTCTTTTTCTTTTTTCTGACTAAGATGAATAACTTTTAATAGATATGCAAAACACATTATAACAAATTAGCAAAAAAAAAAATTAAAATGGCGAAGATAAATATATAAAAGAAGAATAACTATTGGAATTCTATATTTTTATCTACTCTTATTCTTTATTTTTTTTTCTCGATGAAAATGAACAACTTTTAATAAATTTGCAAAACACAACATAATATAACAAATCAAAAAAAAATGGTGAAGTCAGATCTATACAAATAAAAATAACTATTGAAATTCTCTATTTTTATCTATTCTTATTCTTTATTTTTTTTCTTGACGAAGATGAACAACTTTTAATATATAAGTAAAACACAAAACACTGTATAAGAAATCAAATAAAAAAAAGTTGAAAATGAGAAAGAGAGAGTATAAAAAGGAAGAAAACATAGAGTGGGAAAAGAGAAGAAGTGGTGATGAGAAAGAGAAAGAAGAAAGAGAAAATTTGACATGAGAAAGAGATTTCAGTTTAAGAAAAATGTGAAGTGCCCGAGTAAAATGCATTATTGAGTGACGCATAAGCATTAGGGACAAATTAGAAATTTGCAGAACATATCGTTTCTTATACTATAGATTTTTATTTTTATTTTTATAATCAAAAATTATATAGAAGAGGACATGGGTGTAAATATTATAAATAAAGATTAAAAATCTATCATTTAAGAGAGATTAAATCTGATACAATAAAGATTGGAAATCTAACATTTCTCCTCTAAAAATAATGTTGTTTCTAATCTTCCAAATAGACTAAAGAAACGCAAACCAAATTCTACACCGAAAAATTTTCTTCCACAGATCATGTTAGAGTAGAGTTTATAATTTCTATGTTGTCCAAAATTGAGTTCATATCATGGGGTTGAATTCCCAACCAAACGAATATCATAGACCAAATATGAACGGAGATCCGGCAAATAATGAATAAGTGGCACAGAGTTTGTTATATTATAGATGATCGGAATCAAATTAGTATAAAACTAAAGCAGCACTTATTGTCATGAATCCTACAATTGCATGCATATCGTCAATTGTAGATTCACCTTCCAAAAGGACTAGTATTATAGCGTTAGAACTTGCACCACTCCAGTATTTTAAATTTAAGAGGGACATCTGTTGAAATTTGGTGTTACTTTTTGGTGCATTGTTAAAATGATTCAACAACCGACTAAAAATAAATAAATCTGAGCATCATCTAAAATGGAACTTGTAGGGATTGAAATGATATTTGTTCTGGTAGATAGGGAATTAGACAACTTCAACGGAACAGATAGGAAATTTGCAGCCACCACAAAGAAAAAGATAAAAAAAGATTATAGATAGTGGATACTTTCATTGTAAGAACTGTATTTTGAAAACTTAAGAGAGGTTAAGAGAGGTTTGCGGATATCATTTATAACGTATACAAAACTAAACTGTGTTTTGAAAACTTAAGAGAGGTTTGAGGATACCATTTATAACGTATACAAAACTAAACTTCTTCCCACAATCTGAAAAAATCCAAACTAAACTAAACTTAGTGTGCACTTTGTTCCATAATTGAAATATTTCAAAATAAACTTATTATACATTTCTTTCCATAATCAGGAAAAATTCAAATTAACCTTATTGTACATTTCTTCCCATAATCTGAAAAAATACAGAAAAAAAAATTATTGTGCATTACTTTTTATTATCTGAAAAAATACAAACTACCTATCCATAACTAGGCTTACTGTACGCTATCTAGAACAACGTGGCTAACTAAAGGGAACTTAATTTCTAAATTAAATTCATAACTTTGTCTTTTTCAAATATTATCAACAATTGATGTGGACAGCTGGAAATTAGTTGTAACAGATCGTGGTTCTCATCTGGGCTGTTTTGGTTTGCTTAGAGTGTCTCACTTGGGGTTGTTTATGGGCATTTCGGCAAGGCATCACCGTGATTTTGTCTGGATTGCGGTTGGTTGGGTTGCAATCAAGACCTGATTTGGTGGAAGCCTCAGAATTCGCAAGTTATCTTTGGATCCAATTTTTTGTTGTGCTGTTATAAGCATTGTATGTGTTCTCAAGTATTGCTTAGTGTGTGTTTGGAGGTTGCTAGATATCTTGATTTTTGAGCTGAAGCAACTTAAACGTACCATTTCGTAGTATTAAGTCCCGTCAAGCTCTGTTGTGTGTGGAGATGTATAGATGTTGTTGGTGTCTGTTGGGAGGGTGGCAGGATTGGAAAGGGGAATATGATCTTGATTTTTTTGGAGCTCTATGTGAGTTCTTGTGTGGGCTTTCTGGTTCTTGTGTGAGCATTGTATGTGTTGTCACCAAAGGTGACATTATTTAGATTTGTATGTTACTGTTGTATTGGCATATCTTATGCCCCTTTTCTTTGGCAATAAAATTTTTGTCTTTTCCAAAAAAAAAACAATTTTAGATTTTGGAATATCACAAAAAATTAAGTTAAAATGTTGAAGATACTAGACCAACAAACTAATTCTTTTTCCCTTTCATTGCTAAATTTGCTTGAGAGGATGAACTAAAACTCTCTTAGAGCACCTTCAATGGTGCAACCCATTTTTAGATTCTTTGTGGGACTCACTCTTCTAAAACAACTTATTCAATTTTCACTTCAATAGTGCAACTTCAAAGAACCCATATTAGATCCCACTACTTTACTTAAATATATTATTTATATTAAATTTATTTTATTTAAAATTATAATTTAAATATTTAAATTTTAATTACTATAAATATAAACTAAACATAAAATTAAAATTAAACATAAAATTGAAAATAATAATTTATGAATAAAATGATGAAATTGTGAGAGAAATTTAAAATTAAAGAGTAAATAAAAGTGAGAGAAAATAGGATTGTTATAAATTTTTGCAACAAACTTATATTTATAATAAATAAAAAAAAGTTAAAAATAAAATAAAACCAACAAGTTAAATAATTATTTTAATAATATAAAAAAATGAAGAACCATTGCTTATGCAAGGAACGTTCACCAGCTGGAACAACTTTTTGTTGACAATTTCAATGTCAAGTTGGCAAACCAATTTGAAGAACCACCTTTGGAGATGGTCTTAGAGGGAAGAAAGATCCTTCACTAATAATATTTACAACGCAGATGCTAATACTAATGAAAAAGATAATTAAACTTGCAAAGGAATTTCAAAATTCAATATTAAGTACATTGGGCTCCAAGATACGATGAATTGAGCCAAACCATAAATATGTACCAATCTGACTAGATTTTCTATTCACAAAAGTACCACTGCAAGCTTTGGTGAGGGTAATGTTGTGGATGAACTAAACCAAACCTATGTACACTTCTCATGCAAAAAATATAGAAAAGGTGGTACCACAAATTTGAAGGGTATCATCAAAATTCAATGCCACTATTTATCTGAACTGAAAAAGAAGGACGACCAACACTGCATAGAGGAGTATCAACTCTCAGAACAAGACCTGAGTTCCCAACATTTCCATTCCATTTTGATCTGCCAATCTGCACACACAAGAAATCATTGACAGTGTCGTGGATAAGCACTCATTTCATTAAGTGTGATAATTATAATAGTATTAAAGCATGGAATAATCAACATTGATAAATATTCTTGGCACGCCTATTATGTCAATACTATTCGGTGTATGAAAGTAAATAAAAGCATAAATGGTATGCAACGTTTTACACCTGCATACATATTCAGGTTGCTTGGCTTTTTGGCCTCTAATAGGAACCACCTAGGTATTATACAGGACTGAGTCCCCCGGCAACTATGGAATGCAATGCTCTGATGAGTATTTCAATGGTTAGGTTTTTCATCCTTAATAGCTAGCTTTTAAGGAAGAATTCCTCAAGCACTTGAATATTTATCAAATGGTATTAGATTTGGTTATCCAGGGATTAGAAGGAGCTATCAAGAACGGGTTGACCAATAAAGCCAAGTGCAGACACCAAAACAGGCTCTCAGAATTTGGAGTGTTTAAATTACCTGATTCTTACCCCCTTGATAGATAGCTTTTAAGAATGTGTTACTATTGATAGTTAAGAAGTTGGTTAGTTAGTTAAGTAGTTAATGGGGGTAGTTACTAGTTAGTAGTTTTGTTGAGAGTTAGTTGGGCCAAATAAGTAAGGCAATCTGCCTATAAATAGATATGAGGATTAGAGAGGGCAGCATCTTGAAATTTGAGAGGAATCGGGCCTTATGGCATTTTGGGAGGTAGGCAAAACCTTGAAGTGCTATCATTGTTCTAATCAGAGGGTCTTCCCCATTTTCAGTATAATATACCAGTTGGTTCTATCAGCTCCCTAAGTGTTTTGACACTTATCAACCTCTATTTCTAAAGTATGGACACTTAACAACATTAAAAAAAGGGAGTGACAATTAGCAAATACATGTTTATAGATAGGGACAGTAGCAACCAGATCTTAGCAAATGTCATCTGCCTGCAGTGCTATCAGTATTTAAAGTTAAGCAATCTTCAGCTTGTCTCAGACCATCAAACATAAACTAAATATAGCATTTCATGTATTTTCAATATTTTCATTTAAGTGTGACAAAATTAAAACTGGGGCATAGTAAATTTAATATTCATTAATTTTGTCTGTTAAGAGAAATATAAAATTAAATCGTCTATTTGTATAGATGGTCCATTACAAAATATTAAGGAATCATTTTATCCATGTAACATGTTGACAATAACTTTGAGCTTAATGGACAATAATAACCAAAAAGATGTTATCACCATATTAGGAGCATCCAAAATAAGCATCCATAAGTGAAGAACAAGTTATGATCAGTGAAACAACTTACAGATACTGAAGCAAACGCGGAAGGATATGTTGTTAAAGCACATCCACAAATTAGACTAAGTTGCTCTTTGACCGAATGAATGAGTTCAGTCCGCACCCCTGGATTGCTTCCACCAAATGTAGGGCACACACTGACCATATATACATAACCATAATGATCAACATGAATGAAAGAAATTTAAAATACAAGTTGGCAAAATGATCAGAGACAATGAAGTACATCAAAAGATCACAAGAGAATGATGACCGTTTAATTAAACCTGCTAAAAGATCAAGTATATATTTTAAAATAATTTAATACCTCATCAAATCAACCTATTTATGTAACCAAAAAATAAATCTATTTTGGTGTTTGCTAAGACATTTAAAATATAAGAAAATGCAATTATTAAATTACGTGAGTACAAATGTCAAACTCATCTAAAAAATTATGCATATGCATATGGTTTCCGAGATATTATTGCGTTGATTAGACAGTTTGATTGTAAAAATAAATTAGACACTTGGTGTCAATGGATCTTATAAAAGAATTGTAAATTTTACCTGAATTGAATAGTTGGCCTCACAAGGAGACCAGATCTCTTCCAGGCCAAGGCTTGACAAAGACCAAAGGAAAATGATTTATCAGGCCATTGTATCATTGGTGTGATTCTTGTTCCCCATTTGTTCTAAAAAAAACACGCGGAAGATATCAGTTCTAATGCATGAGGAAATCGGTTCAAGATCACTAAAATTCAAACTTAAATGTAAATTTTAAGCATCATTTTTATTATATCCTTTTGTAACTTGGATTCTAACCTTGCAGGAATAGCTGAATCGCATTTCACCAGGATATTGACCCTGAGCTTGAAGAAGACCTCCACAAACTGGAAGGAAAGCACTCGTAGTGAGACCCTCGCCAGATACATAAGTAAGTTGCCCGTTAGGAAATTGAAGATCCACAAATGACTGCATCCAAAGAGAGCAAAGGAGGACAGTGATAAGAAATTTATACAAATTGTAATTCATACAGGCCTATCTAAATATTGGATTCAGTATTTTTGTGCACAAATAAGAGTTAACTTATGAAGAGGAGATAGAGAGAATGTTTTCTGAATAACAGAATATATATTTATCTATATTCAGTGTGTAGTGATTTAACATAGATGCAAAAGGGAAATAGAAAAAATAAATAAATATAACATAGATGCTCAACAAGACAACATCTAGAACTAGAGACAAGCCTAGGATATGAGATCAGTAATTAACTGGAAATTTCTGAAAAATAACATATTGATGACAAATTTATTGAAAATTAAGCTTGTTAGAATTAAACGTGCAAAAGGGAAAATGAAAAACAAAAACATAACATAGATGCTCTACCAACACAACATCCAAGCTAGACTCTAGAGACAAGGCTAGGGACTAGGGTATAAGACCAATAAATAACAGGAAATGTCTGAAAAATAATATATTGAAGACAAATTTATTCCAATTAATCAAACTACCTACATTTCTTAATACCTATACATTATTAGGAAGAGGATTCTTTTGTTAAGGGACAAAGGGAGAAACGTCGAAACACAGGCATGATAGGTCCAACAATATGTCTTAGTGCAAGATAGATACATTCTTCAATTATAATTGGATAACAAATCAAATAAAAAAGTATATAAGTGCAACCCGAGCATTTAACCAATATCATAAAAGTCATCATGGCACTGTATTAAAGAGAAAAAAAAAACAAGAAAATTAGAACAATCCATATCAACTTACACAAGCTATGGGATTCAAGCAAATCATGGACATCAACAGCCACCTTCTGTGTTTAGACCACACTGCTGGACAAAGAGAGTGCATTCCATTCTGACAAACAAAAAAATATCATGTAAGATAAAAATATATAAATAAGGGGGTAACATGTACACATCCATATACAAAGTTTAAAAAATGGAGATAAAATAAGCAGTTTCAAAAAATAATTTAACTATTTTACCAAGTGCGAGAGAGAATAATTTTGACCCGAAAAAAAGCTTGTAACTATGTCAAATGGTTTTCTCATTCATTTCTTACATACTATCAATTTTATAGTAAAATACACGTACGCAAGCTGAACCTCGTGTTTACCTTCCTGTCATAGCCATACCATAGCAAATGTTGCTTTGACAAATGAACAGGCAAAAGGAGAGTTGAATCACGGATAAAGAGGAGAGGTCCAAGCTGGACCAGGTAAAGAGAAGAATTTTCATTTCCAGATGTAGAACCACCACGTGATGCCTCTACTCTCCACAAATCTCCCCTCGCAGCTACAGAACCCTCCACTTCTTGAGTTCTACTATCATAAGTTGATGTAAAATTTATGATTCCCTGTACTTGACAAAATGCAACAGGTAAATAAAATACAATATAAACAAAAGACGCAAGAGAGAGGGAGAGGGAGGGGAAGGAGGAAAATATGGCAGTGAAAAATATAGATTCCAGAGCTTACACATCTTCCATATCATCCACACATACATTTCAAACTAGATGTTGAATACAATAAATCTTTCCTAACTAAAAATTGAAATCTGAAAGCTAGTTTAGTATGTTAAGTTGTAGGACAGACAACTACAATGAGGGATTCAATAACTCGTCTATGCTCGACAAAGTATATCAATTTTAAATCAGACACGCATGATTGTTAACATGACCTATGTCAGAAATTAAAATTTTGGTTCAAACCAGTATAATACAAGTACTAAATATGAGTTTTAGATTTCATATGGAAAGAAAATTTGCGGTCAATGAGAATGTGATACAAGAAATATTTAACAAAGTATACAGTAGGAAAACATTTGTTCAGCTCTTCTTTTTATTGTTTCTTACTCCGACATACCACTCTTTACATATGATGAATCCCCAAAGAAATCAAAGAAGCAATGCACATAAAACAACTATAGTGATTTCCCTCACATAAACATAGAGGCATCAAATACCCAGAGGAAATCACCACCACCACCATCACCGCCACAATATTTAAGACCACAATTTCGTCAACAAAGGCATAATCATGCATTGCATCGGTCCATATGTTTAAACAAATTATCATATACTTATCAGAACACCCACTAAATTTTGCACAAAATAAGATTCGAGAGAGAAATAATCTCTAAACAGAAACACCTCAATTCACATCAAACCCTAACATATTAACATCCAATTACTTCAACCCTCTCCCCCATTTAACACAAAAATTGTTTTCAGACACATGATAAAATAGTTAAGCAGCTACTACAAATCACTTCCAAATCCAACAATCCATCAATAAATTAACAAGCAAACACACTCATACACACAAAATAATACTATGCAAAACAACAAAAACAAAATCCAATTTTTTTTACCTGTCTCCTACCCATATGACCAGCAGAACCAAGATTAAACCCACCAATCTCTTCCTCAACAGTTCCACTAACACTTTCAGAAAATCCATGATTCCTCAACCTCTCAGTAAGTGACCCCAAACCCAAATCCTCATTCACAGAAACCCCAACTAAACCCCTCCTCTGTCTACCTTCACCACCACCAACCCTAACCGTATCCTCCTCATGTTTAAACGGCACCGGCAACGGCAACGACCTGAAAAACTGCTGAACCATTCCATTCAAACTAGCACCAAAATCCATCCCAGCCTGACCGATCCGGTTACCGATATCGAAAATCGCCGAAACACCATAATCATCAACAGGCAAACCAAAATCCCTCTTTCCAAAACTCTGAGTTGAAAACTCCAAATCGAAAAGCTTGGATTTAGGAGGATTAGGCCAAACGAATTGAGGTGGAGTGATATGTGTATGGATCAAATCGGTGAAACCCTGGGTAAGTCGGTCAGCTAAATCCTGACCGTGACGTTGCACTTCTTCCCATGCCTCAAACGACCTTTCTGCACTCATTTTTTCTGCCTTTTGTTCCTCAACAACTCACAAGCTTTCCATTCAAATTAGGGTTTTCAGTATTTGGTTCAAAAACGAGAAATCAATAATCAAAGTTTCAAGAGGTGAATCAAAGTAATGGAAGTTGACGAACAAGTGGCGTGGCTGCGGAGCTAGGAGAAATGAAATGGATGTAATAATAAAAATAATAAATAATGTAATAAAAATGGAAAAGAAGGTGTGGAATTGAGTGCGCGTGATGCGTATTGCGCACCTCTATTTGTTTGATTCAGTGACACGTAGCGTGTGTTGTGGATTAGATTTTATTTTTCCAGTTGAGGAGAAAGAATGGGTTGATTGAAACCAATGAATTTTATAGTTTCCACACGTTATGTTATATTTAGACCATACTATTAAATCATTCATAAAATACAAATACTATAACATAAAATAAAAGCCTAGTGAAATTGTGAGAAATTCGGTCAAACAGTGTTTTTAGTGTGAACGACTGAAATTTTATTATATGAATAATAATATGATAAAGAGTGTTAGTTAAAAAAAATATGTTGAAGAATAATTTAATGAATATACTATATTAGAAAAATATTATAAGATATACTAAAATATTTTATTAAAAAATTATATTGATTATTAAGTTATTATATTAGAAAAATATTATAAGATATGCTAAAATATATAATTATAAAAAAAAATATATTCGTTATTAAAAATGGATCATGCTAATCATTATCTCGGCAATTGTTAAAAATTTTAAATTAAAAAACTATGTTATTAATTTATTAATATATTTTTAAAAAACATGTATTTTAATTCTTAAATAATATTCTATTTACCATTTTAATCTTTTAATCAATGCTTCAGAACATTCGTTAGCATTTTTCATTAAAATTATATTAGTGATGCAAAACTCTTATCTCATTTTTTTTTTTTGTTATGAATTAGTAATATTTTTTATATAAGAGTTATTTATTAGCATGATTATTATTATTTATTACTTCCTCCATTTAAAAATAAGTGTTATATTTGATATTTTTATAAATATTAAAAAAATGTTATAAAGAAAAGAGAGAATATTAATTTTATTAAATTATTTTTATTAACTATTGATATATTTGAGGTAAATTAAAAAATAATAGTAAATTAAAAATATTAATTAAAGAGTATAATTGAAATATGAAAAATTAAACTTACATTTAGTAAGTGATCACTATTTTGAGACAAATAATTTTATAAAGAGAAAAAAAAATATTTAGTAAAATCACTATTCTCACTTTTACTAGTTTATATAAGGGGAAAATCAAAATATTTGTAAATTAGTGATTTAATTATATTATCAAATTCGAATATTTTAATTAAGTGAACGGAGATCTTTCAATTACTTGTCATTTTGATATTGTAAAATTTGGACAATTTATATCCTAACAAAGAGCGATCAATTTATTATCATTGAATATCATAAGAATCATTTATTGATTGGGTAGTAAATAATTTTAAAGGCTAATATAATTTCACAATGTTATGTGATCATTTTTTTTAAAAGATAATATAATTTTAATACTTATTTGTTAAAAATGTTGGTGCAAAGGTAGAATAAATGATAAATAGATAAATATTCTATTAAGAGAATGACGGCTACACACAACCACACAAATTACAATGATTGTTATCCTATTTATAAGCTAATACTAGGGTTACTAGAATAAGATAAAAATATTAAAATACCCTCTAACAAACTTAGGGCTAAGAAAATAGTACAACTAATAAATATGAATTACTTCTAATATCATCCCTTAATTCATATTCCATCAAAACTTGTAACACCAATTCCATCCCTTAGTCTGAGAAATTGATCAGTCTTGATAGCTTTTGTCAGAACATCTGTCAACTGTTTTTGAGTGTTGCAGTGTACAACTTCTAACACTCCACTCTGAACTTGATGTCTCAGAAAATGATACTTTGTCTCAATATGCTTGCTTCTCCCATGCAACACTGAGTTTTTGGCAAGATTGATTGCAGACTTGTTGTCAATCATCAGCTTCAGAGGTTTGTTTATTTTAATCTTCAGATCCTGCAACAGATTCAGAATCCACACAACTTGGAATGCAGTAACAGCACCTGCAATGTATTCAGCTTCACAGGTTGATAGCGCCACGACAGGTTGCTTCTTGGAACACCAAGAAATTGGACCTCCCAGAAATTTGAACAAGTATTCAGAGGTACTTCTTCTGTCAACTTTGTCTCCACACCAATCAGAATATGAATAACTCAGAAGTTCTGACTCATTCTTTCTTCCAGAAGGAAACAACACTCCATACTTCAGAGTTCCCTTGATATACCTCAGAATCCTGACAGCAGCTTGGTAATGGGACCACTTAGGTTTGCTCATGAACCTACTAATCATCCCAACAGAATAGCAAATATCAAGTCTGGTATTGCACAGATACCTCAGAGAACCAACCAACTGTTTGAAGGTTGTAACGTCCACATCCTTTCCATCAGAGCCAGAATACAGTTTCTGATTTGTATCAGAAGGTGTGACAACAATCTTACAATTCTTCAGTTCAAATCTCTTCAGAAGTTCTAATTCATACTTGAGCTGATGCAAAATGATACCTTTCTCAGAATATTTGAACTCCATCCCTAGAAAGTATGTCATTTTGCCTAGATCAGTCATTTCAAATTCATTCATCAGAACTTTCTTGAACTTGGCTATCTCCCGTTCAAAACTTCCAGTCAGCAGTATGTCATCAACATATAAACACACCAGAGTCATATTGCCTTCAGAAGTATGATGAACATAAACACCGTACTCCATCTCACATTTCTGAAAGCCTTGCTTCTTGAAAAATGAATCAATCTTCTGATTCCAAGCTCTGGGCGCTTGTTTCAATCCATATAGAGCTTTGTATAATTTGTACACCATCCCTTCCTGATTCTTTTTTACAAATCCAGGAGGTTGTGACACGTAAACTTCTTCTTCTAATGGACCGTTCAGAAATGCAAATTTTACATCCAAATGCATCAGAGGCCAATTCCTGTTAGCAGCTATTGCAATCACCATTCTGATTGTTTCATGTCTTGCTACAGGTGCAAACACTTCAGAATAATCCAGCCCAGGTTTCTGTAGAAATCCTCTGGCTACCAACCTTGTTTTATGTTTGCCAATTGAACCATCTGGCTTTAACTTCTGCTTGAAAACCCATCTGACGCTGATGGCTTTCTTGTCTTTTGGAAGTTTTGTCAGCTTCCAAGTCTTGTTTCTCTCTATAGCATCAAGTTCTTCTTTCATGGCCTTCAGCCAGAGCTTCTGCTTAAGAGCCTCTTATGTACTTATGGGTTCAGAGTCTACTATCATGGCACACTGAATAACTTCTCCTTCATAGTCTACTTCAGTGTCTTGCAGCATGTCAAATTTTGCATATCTTCTGGGAATGTTTCTGATTCTTTGTGGTCTCTGAACTTGTTCAGAGTCTTGAGCTTCAGAGTTTCTAGCTTCAGATGATTGACTTCCTCTAGAGCCTTGGCCATCTTCAGAGTCTGAATTTCCACCAGAATCTGGATTACCATCAGAGTCTGGATCATCAAAGTCACCTTCATCTTCTGAGTCTTCTCCAGAGTCTGAATCACTATCAGAGTCAACGTCAGAATTTACTCCAACTTCAAAAATTCTTAACTCTGACCTTTCTTCAGAAGTTCTAACATCAGAATCAGCTTGAGACTTATCCCAATTCCAAACTTCTGATTCCGTGGTACCCTATCAGAATCATCACTTTGCTTTTATCATCCAGCTTCTGTCTTCTGGCTTCTGGAACATGTTTATAGCAAATAGAACCAAACACCTTTAGATGACTAACACTTTGCTTATCTCCAGTCTACTTCTGTATTGGAACTATTTCTTTCAACTTCTTCGTAGGACATCTGTTGAGTACATACATTGTAGTGGCAACTTCTCCCCAGAGCTTCTGAGGAAGCTTCTTCTCCTTTAGCATGCTTCTCACCATATCAAGCAAAGTGCAGTTTCTTCTTTCAACAAGACCATTGTGTTGAGGGGTATAAGGAGCAATAACCTCATGCTCAATTCCATTCTCCTCACAGAACTTCTGGAACTCTTTGAAGTTATACTCACCTCCACCATCAGTTATAAGAATCTTCAACTTCTGACCACTCTGATTTTTAGCCTTCATTTTGAACTTCTTGAATTCATCAAACACCTCATGTTTAAACTTAATAAGGGATACCCATGTCATTCTTGTGAATTCATCAACAAACAACACAAAGTATTTATTCCCTCCAATTGATGCTACTGGAAATGGACCACACACATCAGAATGTACAACTCCCAAGGCATGTTTTTCTCTTGGAGCAGCTTCTGACGCAAATGGCAATCGTGGTTGTTTTCCTTCCATGCAAACTTTGCATGACTTTTCAGGCTTCTTAATTGCAGGAATTCCATGTACCAACTTCTTTGAATTCAGATGTTTTAAGCTTCTAAAATTCAAATGACCAAATCTTCTGTGCCACAGCTCACTCTCCTTCTCAGCACTTGTTGCACTAAGACATTCTGAGTCTGCAGTTCTGACATTTACCTTGAATGTTTTATTCCTTTCCTGTTCTGACTCCATAATCAACTTCTGATTGCAGTCATACATCTTCAGAAGATTGTCCTTCATGGTAACTGAAAAACCTTTCTCAATTAATTGTCCCACACTCATCAGATTGCTTCTGATGCCAAGTACATACCACACGTTCTGAATCAATGTTGTTTTCCCATTGTTCAGAATCACTCTGACATTTCCCATACCTTCTGCATTAAGATATTTGTCATCAGCACATCTGATCTTTGTTCTCTTTTCAGAGTCAAAGTCAACTAGTCATTTCTTGTTTCCAGTAAGATGATTTGAAGAGCCAGTGTCCATATACCACCAGTCTATCATATCCATATTATCAGATTCAGAGGCCATCAATAGCACAGATTCGTCATCAGAACTTCTGGCTATATT